TAGTGCAGGGAGAATCAGGTGGAAAAGCCAGGGTTAATATGGCCTTCAGTAAAGAGAACGCCTTCACAAGGGAACTCTGGGTAGGATTCGGTCCCAAGGGCAAACAAGACGACAACATGTTAAGGGTGGACAGCTTTCTCCAGTGAGAATGGATTGGAACATGTCTTGGCCTGCAGTCCTTTCTCATGCTCCAGTGTAATCACTCTTAATATCAGCAGCAGAGCCCTGCCTCTCCGTATCCATTGGGCTGACCATTCCTCAACTCTCTCCATCTCTCCGAACAGCTGTGCGGCACAGTCCATCCTCCTCTGGAGGATGAGCACTGCTCTCTTTAGGTAGTGTTTATTGGAACTGTGTTTCTTAAACAACAATTCCCTTCCATAATAGGATAGGAAGAGGATAGGGAAACTGCTCTTATATTGTATATTACTGGCAAGCCCTAATGTGTTTAAGTAATACAAATATTATGTTGCACTCTACATTTTTTGCCACATTCCAAGTTTCATTACCTTAAGGTACTAATATTTCAGGTGGTTTACACACGACATCTAATGTGGATGAATGAGAAGGAATAAGTAATAGGTTTATTCCATGCTGAAAAGAGAAGAAAGAAAACACAATGTTTTGGCCGTGGAGCCTTCTTCGGGTGCCACGCAGCTACCTACCTGAACTACATAAGGAATAAGTGCAGCCAAACCAGGATATTAACAGTTACAATACTTATTCCTTTTTGTTTAAACGCACCTCATCAGTTTTTATAAAAAGATGAGGATAGGTGTGGGTAACGCAGGAGTGAGTCATTTGAACGGCTGAAGAGGTACGATCGAAATAAATATTGCAAGAAACTGTGTATAACACTTGGGCTGAGCTCTTTTTTTCTGATTTGATCACACATATAAATCCCATTTAAACCACACAGCATTGCTTCGTGCAACTTCGTGTCACAGCTGCATATGAGTCATGCCGCTGTAGATGATGGCTTCTATGGCAGAGCTCGCTCACAGACGTGTTTCGCCCCCTGTTCTGACCTTACACTGGGCCCTGAAGTCCCTGTAGCCGTCAGATCGTGTTATCATTGTTATTTACTTATCTGTTATGCAATCCCTTTAATCGGTCGGTTGCTTTTATTATTATTATTCCACCAAGCTCTCCAGGATTTTTCCAAGGAAATTGGATATGAAAGTACTGTATCTGATCCAAAGGGATAAATCTCTGGTCTCCTTCGTCCAAGGTCACTAGGTGTAAACCCTCCTGCCTAAACTGCTGGGGCAGAGAGAATGCTATTTGAGAGTGTTCAGTGAGAAACAAGCAAACAAAATAATTGTACATGAGGGGAAGAGGGCTAATTTCTTTGTAAACTAATTGAATAGGGGAATAGGGAACACCTGTTCTAAAAATGCACAGTACGACACTACAACCATCTTGTAGCTGGTAGCACATTTTCTCTATTTTGTTATGTACTGCTGTTCCTAACCACCTGCTGAAAGGAACTCCTTACACACACCATCTGGTAATGGCTGTGAATCAAGGTTTTCCCCGTAACCCTCACAGACCAGGGTTCTTCTGGGATGTAATAAACTACTGATATTTGGGGTCTAATATGACAAGTATACCCAATAAAATAAATGCTCAAAGTTACCTTACAGCTCACGTTCGTTTAGACGAGTTACTCATGCCAGTTCTCTCATGTCCCTGATACCCAGCTGTCTGAGGTTTGGGGATATACAACATGGCAGACACATCTCTAGATACCAGAAGTAACAAAGCATTGTGTAAAACTCTGAAGGAATGATTCACCATGACCAGCTCTACCCAGGTTGCTACAATGCAGACAGCTGTTCTGCTTCCCTCTATTGCTCAGTCAGTGTGATGGTGCTCTCTTAGAAGTGGGTGAAGCTTATGCCACAGCTCACACCACCTGCCAATGCAAAGCAATCTACTGTACCTGCTTGGTTGTGATGCAGCCTTTCAATTCTACCTCCCTGGTAGCTGTCCTGTGGATCTAGTGCTGAAGTCAACCATGCTGTCTGACCCAGAAACTTGAGACTCTTATTGATCGCCTCTGGGAGACATGCAGGAGTACATCTGGCAGTGACCTCATGCTAACAAATGGAGATCACTGCCCCTGTCATGCTGGAATTGCTCCACAGCATAGGAAACTGCATGAATCTTAAACTCCTTTTGTCTTTCTGTATTCATTTATGCTGTTGAGATAGCAGAAATAGAAAGATTGTCTGTTTGAGAGAACAGACAAACTGACGTTTAAAAATACCTGCCTATGTATCCCATCAACCCACAAAATGCATAATAATAATATTCTGCAATAGATACTTCTAAACAGCTTCAGGTTATGAGATGGAATTGACTGACGTGTCCATCATATTACCTGGTACTCCTGTACCACACAGAGTTGACAAGGACCTGTGTAACCAGGGAGCTGTTGTTTTCAGACTGTTCCAAATTGCCACATTTAGCTAACGTGTCTACAGACAAGGGTAAGGCCCCTAACTTACAAATGAGAAGGTATTTTAGAATCCTTGTTTTTTAGAAATTGAATCTAGAATAAACAGCAAATGAGCAAACATGAACCAGCTCCAGATGGAGTTCTGATGAGTTCTTGTCAAGTGGCACTCACTCACACGGTTTGGTGTTGTACCCTGATATTTCTAATTATTTGTCAAGACAAGTGCAGCGCACTTTTTTTGCAGTACATATCCCACCCAAACCGTGCAGTAGGACTGTTATGTGTAACTGTAATGTACATGTGCTTACAGTTTCAATAAAAGCATTATTAAGTCATGGTTCTAAAGTTCTTTCCTCCTCAGGAGAAAAACAAAACAACCCGCTTATAAAAAACACATATGTGCTGTTAACAGCACTGCATGAATTTTGTTGGAGACTCCACCCAAATATCTTCCTGAAACTACTGTACTTTCTAAGAACAGAAAAAACGACTTTATAAAATGACAATAAAACGAATTAAAATCTGTGGTGTAAGTCATTCAGAATAAAAATACAAGTAAATTTAGAGCAAATTCTGCCAAGCCTAAAACACATAAAAACTGCCTCTGAACCCACATATCTAAAGGGTTTTTTTCTTCTAACAAGATTATGTTCTGCAATTTGCAAAGTAAAAAAATAACACAATGAAGGGGTTGTGGCCCTGGGGCACTGTCTGCAAGAAGTTTGTAAGTTTTCCCCATGTTCGCTTGGGTCTTCTCCAGGTGCTCCAATTTCCTCTCACAGTCCAAAAACATACTGGTAGGTTAATCGCTTCGAGTAAAACTGGCCCTGGTGTGAGTGTGTGCATGTTTGTGTCTGTGTGAAACAGAAAATGGACGAATGCTTGAGATAGCTCATGACAAAATGAATCACATGATCCTTTAGCTTTTCCATCAGCTGCTGCGATTGAAATATGTTCAGGGAGTTATAAGATTGGTTCACGTAATGCTAATACAGGCGTTAAGCCCCTGATATCATGTCCAATATTTTACCTAATTTAAGCAAGTCTTCATCCTGTGTGATTACTTCCTTTAAGGTGTATCCCAGTGAATTATTCACATACAATAGTTTTGACAACCTTGTGTTTTTAAGGGATAATCACCAACAGACAGCCTTGCATTTTTAGGGTATATAATTTAGGTTATATGCATATTATTCATGGCATTGTTTTCTCTGCACAGCTTAATCAATACTTAGGGGATTTGAGGGGGAAAGGAGAATAAACCATCCATATTTACACAAAATGATAATACCAGATAGTCAATAGACAATCATCACAAACTAAACAAAGATACAACTGTGAATAGCATTGAGGAAAAGCAAAATACAGATATGTTGATATGTTTTTCCCTTTAAATATTGAATTACAGGGGGGCCTACTAATACAGTAAAACATACCAGAAAACACTTTAGAAAATGTTTTCTTCATTGAGATGTGGATCTTGAGCCACATAATTTTGATCCAAACCAGGTGTCTGCGTGCATAGTATTGAAGGGGCAAAACTCAAGAAGCGATTTTTGTTCTATAATGAAAGAGAGCTCAGTACACGCTTCTATGAAATATAAGTAGAGATACACAATTCATGCGCTGCAAAATTATTAACGAAAATCTACAGTGGTAATAACATACAGTATCAACAAGCGTCAACCAGCCCTCAATAAAAATGCATCTTTCTCTGGCTTCTTGTCAACTTAACGTCTCAGAAACAGACACTTGATCAACTGGCCTCATATCATTCATGTCAACATTCCATATTTTCTAATAAGGCTCAGTGTTATTGTGTTAATATTTTTATGGAGCACACCTCTGGTATAAAAAAATCAAGCTGCACTGTCTTTGAGCTACAGTAGTAGATCCTAACGTGCTTCCTAGCCTTTTCCCGAATCAAACACAGCTTTCAAATATATAAGTTGCATATGTTTCAGCTATGTACTGTAAGTATTTTCATTTTTTTGACAGCGCCAACCTTCCTGAGAAATGCATCCTTAATACCTCTAGTTCAGCCAAGCCGTGGAAATAATTCTTTCATGCATAGTCTTCGTAATGAATTGTGCCACAGCTTAAAATGAATAACGTGGGAAATTAGATAGCCTAATCTATTATGTTTCTACTTAATATTAAAAAAAATCCAACACACCACATGCACGATTAATCACAACCCAATTTTGCTATCCGACTCCCACAACCGAAAATAAATCGCAGAATCGCACGGACCCACCTAACATCTTTAATGGGCATTACAGAACAGCTTGCAGGTGTGAAAGACAAAAATGCCTACGCTAGCCATCCTCTTGTTTTACATGAATCTAGTACATCTCGCTTGCATTTCTTACAGAGAAGATGGCTTATGTCGAAAATAACAAAATACATACAATATTTAATAAATTTTGTTTTTTTTTTTAATGTTCGCGTATAAAGTATTCTTGGAAAAAAGCGGGGTACCAGATAGCACCTTCACCGAGACCTAATATACCTATCTTGTAAAGATGTCACTTACCGAAATATACGGTTTTGTCGCATTTGGGACATTTGGATGCCATGATTTTGAAATTCAACGTCACGGTCTACTTTCTCTGACTGCTGCTTGCTATCTCCCTATCCTCCCAGGCACAAGCGCTTTTTTTCCAGGGAGAGCAGCATCACTTGCACAGCCCTTCTAGGTTTGCATAAACACGCCCAGTACTCAGTGTAGACCACGCCTCCTCCGACGCTGGTTGGTCACTCTTCGGCCAGGTTGGGGGCGAAATGGACAACGACAGTGGGCTGGGCCGGTTGCTGAAATTCAGAAGAAATCAATGGGGTCTTTCACTTGGTAATGAATAACGTTTCAAACGAAACAAACCGTTACGTTTCGAATTGCTCTAGCTATTGTAGGAGACGAACTTCACATTTACTTCATGGCCAGAGCTGTACACGTGAGGTACTATGAAAACAGGAAAACTGAAATTCTAACATTCAAATATGAGCAGTAAAAACTCATGTGGCTAGCTATAAAGTACTGTTAAATTGCCTTTTATGAATAATATATTTTCTTTGCTGGGGATATTTTGGCTTTAACATGATAACGTAATAAAAGATCCGTGTTCTTATTTTTCCCATGAGAAAATAAGATAGTTGAACGCTAAAAGAGCAAAATCTGAATGTCTTTCTGTGATTCGTACTGTGTTCTGGGAAAAAGACAAAGGGTGAAGAACTTTAATCCTGAACATTAGCAATACTTGCGGTCTTATGCAGTATGTCTCTGCATATCCCCGCTAAAGTTTGGACATCCAGGATACTGTAGGGTTTAGTTCGCTTTGCTCAGACCACAGCAGCGAAGCGGAGGGTTTTGGACTCCTGGCCGTCTTCATTGAAAAATTCCATAGGTTCTATAGGCGATATCAACGTCTCCACTTCATTAGTGCTAAGTCATCCGTGCGTGACCTCTGCACATACCCAGTCTTTAGGTTCAGCAGTCCTTTTATCTCTTCAGAAATTCAACTAAAGCTTAGTGAGGCTCATGTATAGAAGCTCAATACATATAACAAGCTCAGTCAACTTTAAATCCGGTGAACCTGTAGGGGCTATAATTTATCATTTTCCAATGAGTGAGTACAGAAGCATGTTTGAGTTTACCTCTGTGCCACTAATGTCGCTGAACACTGTTACACAGCTGACTATATTGGGTTTACTGAATTCAAGTGGAGGCTGAAGAAAAATATTTGTGTGGACAGGGAGAGACCAAGGCAAGGCAAACAAGGACTGAGAAAGCAGACTAAACCTGCAGTTTCCAGCCCCACTTCCAGGAAACAGCTTTGCCTTCTGTTATTATGCTGCAGCAGAGTTTTTAATCACAGTCTGTATCATATCAACTTTCTATTTAGGGGGTATTTTAAAATTTGGTCTTTAATCTGTTTAAACCTTTGCTGTGATGAAGTTGTTTGGAATAGTAAGAGTGCAGGCTTACTTATTTCTGTATATGAATTGCCTGCGTCAATGAGTTCTTAATTTTAGGATAAAAAAATACAAGAGAATGTTTTGCAGATATGGGCCTGTTTACTGAGGGCTTGTTTATAAAAGCTGAACTCCCCACTCCTACAGACGTAGTCACTGACAGAAGCTAAGAGATTTGTCACAAGGGCTTTAATATGTCAGAGGGCATTCTGTTTCCTGCCCTCCATAGCAGACAAGAAGAAATATTGGTAAGGCTTTACTTGTTATCAAAGCCTGGTTGGTAATAAGTAAAGTGGTAAAAGGATTTATTGTATTGTGTAATAATTATGAAGAAGTTAAGTATGAGTGTTTTTTTTTTTTGCTTCATTCAAGTTAAGTGCTGCCAAAGTACTTGTGCCTTTTATCGACTGGGGTAATAGGCAAACCTATCACCAAGACACATTTTGAGTGGACAGCTTGATAGCATGAAGACATGAGTGTCACTCGATAAAACATGTCAGGCAATACACACTGAAATATATCTTTTGTCCTTTATTCTAAGATTTTGGCTTTCTGCTATGTACTGTATTATTTTTTGTCTGCAACTTCAAAAATATGCCATAAACTTTGCAGTAGCAAATAATGAAACCAAAGCAAAAACAGTTTTTAATTCATCATAGTTAAATGTAATTAGTCTTTGAAGGTTCAGATTCTTTAAATAAGAACCATACTCTTTGTAGCTTCATAACACACTCATTAACTTTAACACATAGCAATGTTTATCAAGCACAAAAGAATTTCATACAGAAAATAAAATCTGCAAAACAGGTTTAAATGACCATCAATCCAAAAAGTTTGCATTTCAGTTTTACATACACAACAGTCTTAATACCTTTGACATTTTAGATCTGTCTCATCAATGTGATCATTTGAAATATTCTTCTAAAATCAGTTTAATATCAGATCAAATAAGGAGGTTTTGTTCATCATTTAAGATAACAGTTGTTGAACAGTGTGAACAAATGAAAACATTGATATACCATGCTTTGAAGATTAATAGTTTTAAACACTCATAATTAAAATTAAATTTTACCTCATACATTTTGTTATAAACGGGGGGTTACGAAAATGGAGAAAATCGGAATTGACCGAGCGGATTAGTCAATAATAAAATCAATATTCGTAACCCCCAACTTGTAAGTGATTTCTGCAGAATATACCCAAGCGACTGGTATAATTAGAGATATTGTATGTGAATTCTTTGTTCTCTGGCACAGCTTTGGTGAAAAGAGTAATAATCCAGGAATACTTGGTTAAACAAATATTTCTTAATGATGAAATTATTATAAACACTACACTTCACACAACATAAACATACAACACACAGGTTACTGTATTTACAGTCTATACAGTCACGGCGTTTCAGAGGCCTAAAGTTCTAATCACGCAGAAAACCAGACTGCTACCAAGTATTTGATTCTTGAATTATGCCAACAGAGGCCAAAATAAGAGATAAGCTGCCTTATATACAACCAGCAGTAAATCTCTCTCTCATCAAACTTGGATGCCACAAAAAACTGGGTTTCTTTAAAAACGAAAATAGCAAGGTCTCTGCGTCAAGGTCCAGATACTTAGCTCCAATCGCGATTTGTTCAGATGATCGTGAAGATCATGAAAGGGCTCTTGCCTGGTGCAAGCTTCAAGTTCCAACTCCTCCTCACTCCTCTGTCTTTTGTGGTCCAACCTTCTCTTTTTCTCCTTTTTACTTTCCTCTCTCTGTGGTCCTGATCTGATCTTATATGGTTTCTTTCTGGACTGTTCATTGGTAATCATTAACCCAGACCGAATGATAGGTAATAATTTACCCAGAACTTAATTAACTAGGTAAACCAAGGTAAACTTTATGATTGATTTTGATCACAGGAGCTGGACCCCCTACATCCCACCAAACATCCTCTCTGGAAATGGAAATGTTTATGGAGCCAGGTGTTACACACTTCCTAGTCAACCATATGTGTAACAATCTTATACCGACATGCAAGAACATCACTGTTTGATAGGCAACCCAACAGAAAGAAAGACAGGAAGTGAAGCCCCTGAAGAGTTTCTTAAACTTGTGGTGAACTAAAGGACAGAATCAGAGTTTTAATTACTGAAGACTACTCTTATCAACAATTGAAGCCCATTTTCATGTTTTAGGGGGCTGTGAAATTGTAATTGTAATGTGGTAACTTAGATATTAGAACATGTTGAAGAAGAAACCAAATTCCCTAAAATGAATGTCAGTTTCCAGCATGAAAAAAAACACAATTCTTTTAGAGAATTGATCAAGAGTTCTATCCATTCCGCTTCTAATTGAATCCTAAAGTATCTCAATTCATAACATTTGTTTGATTTGTACATGCAGCCGTTAATACTAGTGTTCTATCACTGAATGCCAGAGGCATTCTTTTAAGTTTATAACACAATTTAAGCAAAAATAAAAGCACACAGAAAACAGAATATAGAGACTTTTAAAATTTTCGTTGATGTTTTGTAAATATGACACTCTACCAGAGAGCTCTGAGTGACTAAGAAGCCTGGCTTATAATTCTGTGAGTCATCGTGCAAACATTAATGCATATCAGGATTAAAATCAGTTGACCTTGAAAGTGTAAACATTTTGTCTTAATGGAACAGAGGTGCTTCACTGTTATCCCACTTGGACTGATTTCAACATAGACACTATTTAACTGGTGCTTGTAATATTTAGCTTAGAGACATGAACATCTTGCCAAGGTAATCATTAAATACCACCAGATAATAATCAATGAATGCATGTTTTTATACGAACAGTTACCAATGAGAGGAGGGTATTTGGCCCATACAGTCCATTTGGTAGTTAGTAGTTAATTGATCCAAGTATCTCATCCATCCATTTCTTGAAAGACACCAGGGTATTGGCTTCCGCAACATGGCTAGATAGCTTGTTCCACACTCCCACAACCCTTTGCGTAAAGAAGTGCCTGCTGTCCTCTGCTTTAAATGCACTTCCATGTAGTTTACAATTATGTAAGTATCAGGATATACATAAACAGTAGCTTGGACTTATTCAGGGAATTGTCACATTGTGGAACAAGGCAGTGTCTTCTTTATGCTGTAATAACAAACATAGATCACTGCTGTCTTAGTAGTCTTTAGACTACTTCTTAAGTCTAGAATAAACATGAATGACCTAGTCAAACTAGTTGTGTGTGAATGCATTATGAAAATACATGACATAGAATCAACTTAATAAAAAATTATTACCTAAATACAAAACTTCAGCAATTAGTGTACCTATTTAGATATTGTGAGGCATATCTTCTTATAAAAAACTGTCGTTTTTACATCTGGGTACAAGATTTTAGCCCTGTACAGGATAAGCCCTATACAGAATTAATAGATTATTTCTGAGATGTATACATCTTTTTACACACCAGTATTAAAACTTAATACATAATTCTACAGTGGGAGACTTTCGCTACAAACATACTATATTCAAACAAAAGGAACAATTAAAATCCTTCAAGAAATCCTAACAAGCTTACAAAAAACAGCAATAAGTAATAAGAGGTTCTATATATATTTCAATATATACAGTACATGTAGACTACAACTGTACAAAGTTCTAGTATAGCCCCATCTGTAATATTGTATTTGCTGTATATGCGATCTCTGTCTTACAAAGAGCATAAACAA